AAAAAAAAAAAAAAAAAAAAAAAAAAAAAAAAAAAAAAAAAAAAAAAAAAAAAACCAAGAAAACAAAATTGAGATGTAATTCACCTACTATACATTTCATAAAATTCAGTGATTTTTAGTACATCCACAAGGTTGGACAACCAACTCCATTAGCTAATTTCACAACATTTTCATTATTCTCAAAAGAAACCTCACATACCTTAGCAGCCAGACACAATTTCCCCCTCAATCCTATTCCCTGGCAACCATGAATCTACTTTCTGTGTCTGTGGATTTGCCTATTCTGGACATTGCATATAAATGGAATCACACAATATGTGGTATTTCGCATCTGGCTTCTTTTACTTAGCTTGCTTTCTAGGTTCATTCCTATGGTAGCATGAATCAGTACACCGTTCCCTTTTTTGGCTGAATAGTATTCCTTTCTATGGATATACCACATTTTGTTTATCCATTCATCAGCTGATGGACATTTGGGCTGTTTCCGCTTTTTGGCTATTATGCATAACGCTGTTACAAACATCCGTGTACAAGTTTTTGTGTGAACATATGTTTCCACTTCTCTTGGGTACATACCTAGGAGTGGAATTGCTGGGTCATATGATAATTCTATCTTTAACTTTTTGAGGCGCTGCCAAATGAAATTCATATACTTCTTATGTGCCACAAAATACCAGTCTTGTTTTGATTTTTTAAATCATTTACTTATGTGAAAGCCATTCTTAGCTGGTGGGCCACACAGAATGAGGGGGTGAGCTGGGTTTCGTCCATAAACCATGCTTTGCCGACCCCCCGGTGTAGACAATGGAAGGAATCTGGGCTTATTCTGTGTGTGTTGCACACAGAATGTTTATCTGTAGGATTCTAGGGGAAGAGGCTGGTAGTGATTGGATACATTTAAGGCAGGGAACTTTGTAACCTCCTCAAGCCAGTCTTGGCATGGTTACTGTTTAAAGGAAATATCATCTTGAGAAAATGATAATCGCCTCTTAGAAATTCTCAGATCGGACCTCTCCTCTGCACACTGCCCATATGCTCTATTTCCTCAATTGTAAATGGCGTTAAAAATGTACCTCCTTCAAAGAGGTGTTGTGAAGTTTGAATGAATTTATATATATACAACACCGAGAACAGTGCCTGGCACAGACCAAGACCTATATAAGTCGTTGCTATTATTATTGCTATTGTTGCAATTATTATCCACACAGCCTCAGCTCAGGCCTCATCCTCCTCCCCCTGGAATATGTCTCCCTCCAGTCTGTTCCCAGCACCAGCCAGCCCTCAGAGGTTCTTCTAACACTAAGATCTGGCCCTGTCCTTCCTCTTCTACAAACTTTGTGTAGCTCTCTAGTATCCTTAGTGCCGGGCTCCTGGGTGCGGCATTCGAAGCTCATCATGGCTCTACCTTTCCTTTTCTCTAACCTCATTTCTTGTGGCTACAGCTCATGTTACAGCTACATGGGTGGACCAGCTCCATGTCACCCCCCCTCCCAACCAAACCTTCGCCCCTATTGTTTACTATGCCAGTGTACTGTTACTCTTCCCTGGGCCTCATGCTTTAAGACTTGAACAGGCTGGGCACGGTGACTCACGCCTGTAATCCCAGCACTTTGGGAGGCCAAGGAGGGCAGATCACCTGAGGTCAGGAGTTCGAGACCAGCCTGGCCAACATGGTGAAACCCTATCTCTACTAAAAATACAAAAAATTAGCCAGGCGCAGTAGCGGGTGCCTATAATCCAGCTACTTGGGAGGCTGAGGCAGGAGAATCGCTTGGACCTGGGAGGTTGGAGGTTGCGCTGAGCCAAGATTGGGCCACTGCACTCCAGCCTGGGCCACAGAGTGAGACTCTGTCTCAAAAAGAAAAAGACTTGAACAAAGGAATCTTTCCTTCATTTGTCTTGCCCCTGCCCCAGGTGGGTTTGGCGCCCCTTCCAGACTCCCACAGAGTTCCGTGCTACTTGTAGCCGGTATCACCTTATATGTGACTTGATCAGTGTTTCTATTTTCCTTCTCCAATTCCATTGTGAGTTCCTGGATGGTAGATTTAGGGGGAAGAGGGAGGTTGTTGTTGATTCATCTCTGGGCTTCCTGCACCCAGCCAAGGCCCAGCACACGAGGGGCTTCCAGGAAGGTAGTCCAGGACAGAATGGGGAGGAGGGGAAGGCAGTGAGGTGGGGCTGGGGCTGGAAAAAGGGGCCCACTTCTAATGGATGAGGGCACCCCCTCTGCTCCCCCTAGGCCTCTCCTTGGTGGTGGGCTTGGTTCTTTACATCTCCAGCATCAACGACGAGGTCATGAACAGGCCCAGCAGCTCTGAGCAGTATTTTCATTATCGCTACGGGTGGTCTTTTGCCTTCGCCGCTTCCTCCTTCCTACTCAAAGAGGTGACGTCCGTGGGACCTAGACTCTAGCGTTCTGAATGGAGAGAGGTCTTGGGGGCCTGGTTCCTGAGTCCAGGAAGAAAGAGAGGCTGGAGATGTAGACTCTGGCGTCAGAGGGAGGTGGTAGCTGAGGGTCTAACCCGTGGGTCCTGAAGGAAGAGGGGGTCTGAAAGCTCCAACTTTTGGGATCCTTGGGGAGGAGGGGTCTGGAGACTGAGACTCCTGGGTCTTGAGGGAGGGGCTATCCTGAGGGCTTGGACTCCTGAGGTCCTGGGGAAGGAGAGGGCTGGAGCCCTGATCCTAGGTCCTGGGATAGGAAGGGGCTTGGGGTGGGGACTCTGAGTCCTGGAGTTAGGGGAGACCAGTTGGGGTCCCGGGATGCGCAAGGGGCGCCCCTGGGACTCTGACCTTGCCTTGCCGCAGGGGGCCGGCGTGATGTCCGTGTACCTGTTCACCAAGCGCTACGCGGAGGAGGAGATGTACCGCCCACACCCGGCCTTCTACCGCCCGCGTCTCAGCGACTGCTCCGACTACTCGGGCCAGTTCCTGCAGCCCGAGGCGTGGCGCCGCGGCCGGAGCCCCTCCGACATCTCCAGCGACGTGTCCATCCAAATGACGCAGAACTACCCTCCCGCCATCAAGTATCCGGACCACCTGCACATCTCCACCTCGCCCTGCTGAGGTCCGCCCCTTGGAGCTCCCCTGCCTCCTCCTCCTCCTCCTCCCCGGGAGTCTCCCTGCGGTGCAGCCCCCCTTCCCTCCTCGGGACTCTTCGCTCCCACCCGAAGGAGGCTTTGCCAGCTTTAGGCCACGCCCTCTCCCCAGTGGCTCCGCCCACACCCTGCCTCATTTCAATGGCCGCGCCCCTTTTTCCTGACCTCTCCTTTTCATTGGTCCCTCTCACTAGCAAGTGACTCCTCCCTCCTCATTTCCCCGCCCCTTTCCCTTAAGACCCGCCCCTTTTTTCTGACTCCTCCTCTCCAAGAAAATTAACTCCTCCCTCGTTCTCCACCTGTTCTGCGCTGGGAGCAGCCCGCGGCTGTGCAGGCGCCCAGCTCCCCGAAGCTCCCCAACCTCCGACCTCACCGCAGGGGCCCTGGGTTGGGAAGCAGGTTCGGGCAGCCGCCGGGAATGCCGACCATCTTCTTCTCCCTTCTGCTCCGGGCTTCCTTTTTCCCTGCCTAATCTCACCTCCTGACCTGCTGGGTCACCGGGTGCAGCGGGAGGACCGGCTTGCTCCACCCACAGCCGCGGGATGGGATGGGGAACGGGGCTGGAAGCCACGGGTACGGTTAACCTGGCCGCTGGCCCTTCCCTTCCCGCCTCCCCTGCTTCCCTGGGAGGTCCCATTCGTTCTCACCGGCCGGGCTCTTTTCTGCTTCCTGAAGGTTACCTGCCTTTTAGGGGGCTCTTATCTAAAGGATCTTCTTGCTTTCTCAGCTATCCTTGGCTTCTTTTTCGTCTTCCTCCTTCTTTAACTCTTTCTCTCCTTTCCTCCCTCCACCCGCTTGTCCCAAGCTCCTGAGTGCATCCAGCCGTAGGCACACACCAGGCGGCCAGAATGGGGACCCTAGGGTGGAGGGAATCACCCCCGCGCCATCTCCACACCTGTGCCCGCCTCTCCCCCCTCGAGGCCCCGTCGAGGGAGGGAGGGGCAGTAGCGGGGGTCGACGCCCCCCCAAACCTCTAAGTCTTCCATTTTCTGGCTCTCCACCTCATTGACGTCCCTCTTCCCCCCTCAGAACCCCAACTTTGGCCTCTTTCAAGGGCCCGTCCGCCCCGTTGGACAGATTTTGGGGGGAGAGGAGGTCACCAGGAACTCGCCCACCCCCTCTTCTTAGGGAAAGAGGGGCAAGGTAGCACAGTGCTGTACACGGAACCAGAATGGCCCCCGGGGTGGGGGGGAGGGGGGCAGGGGAGGGACGGGGGCTTTTAGTTTGCATCTTGGGTGGGAGGGGGGAGGAGGGGACCCGCCGCAGTTAACCTGACTTTACGCAGAGATTTTTAACGAGGCTGGGGGGAGGGGGGCACTGGGGGTGGCGACAGGGTGGGGTGGGGGGCCTGGCTCTGTTATTTACCGTGTATCATATGTAAATATCGACAGAAACTTCAATAAACTTTATTTCAAACACGTCTCCGCCTGCCCAGAGGGAAGGGATTGGATACATGGGGCTTAGCCTAGGTCTCTGCTTCTAGGGTTGCAGGCCTAACGTGCTGCAGAATAAGGTTAGCTGGGCCGTTGTTAAAGACTTAATCATCATCATTATCGATGGCAGCGCTTCATACTTCAGCCCGTGTAAAGCATGCAGGACGGTTAATGACACTGGTCAGGATCAATAAACACTTTCTCTTGGTATTACTATGACCATGTAGACTACTGTTACTATGACTCGCCTTCCTTTGACATTCATTGCTGCTTTTAACTTTCTTCCTAAGCCTGCACGTTCAATTTATTGGCCTCATTTTGCAGATAGGTCCAGAGAGATGAAATGATGTATCCAAGATCACACAGGTGGAAATTGGCAGAGCCATTTGCTACACCCAAGTTTGGGCTGGGCATGGTGGCTCATACCTGCAATCCCAGCACTTTGGGAGGCTGAGGCGGGCAGATCATTTGAGGTCAGGAGTTCGAGACCAGCCTGGCCAACATGGCAAAACCCCATCTCTACTAAAAATACAAAAAATTATCTGGGTGCTGTGGCTCACACCTGTAATCCCAGCTACTCGGGAGGCTGAAGCAGAGAATCACTTCAACCTGGGAGGCAGAGGCTGCACTGAGCTGAGATCACGCCACTGTACTTTAGCCTGGGTGACAGAGTGAGACTCCATTTCAAAATAATAATAATAAAACCAAGTTTATCTGGTTCCAAAGCTTGGGATTCCTCCTGCTTGTACCAGGCAGTGGTGGGTTTTCCCAATGCTTGGCTCGGTCCCTCTGTTGAGAAATGACGGCTACCGTTTACTGCACACCTACCTGAGCCAGACGCCTTCCTTCCTTACATGATCTCATTAGACATTCACAGCAGCTCTGTACAGAGGAATTATCACCCCATTTTTTGCAGGTGAAGGAGGCAGGCTCAGAAAGTAGGCACCACAATCTGCAGTCTCACCCACTATACTGAGAGACTGAGAACAGCCTAAATGTTTGATAAGCTTATTCTTGGAGCGTATTGTAAAGGAAGCACTGTGCCACATCCTCCCTTTGCCTTGTATTGATGTGGCCTCTTAAGGATCCATCAGAGCAACTTTTGCAACTACAATCACAACTGGTAACAACCATAGCCACATTTATCAGCTCATCATTAGGGGCTCAGATGCTGCACTAAACACTTTTTTTTTTTTTTTTAATACAGTCAAGTTCTCCCTATATTTCCCAGGTTGGTCTTGAACTCCTGGTCTCAAGAGATCCTCCTACCTCAGCCTCCCAAAGTGCAAGAATTACAGGCGAGAGCCACCCTACCGGCCCAGCACTAAGCAATTTTGATTATTAGCTCACTGAATCCTTCCAACCATCCTGTGAATCAGATATTCCAATTAGCCCCATTTTATAGATAATGAAACCGAGGCTCAGGGAAGTAAGGCCGTCCAGCTGGTAAGATGAGGAGAATTCATGCCTGGTTTGTCTGACCTCGGAGTCCACACTCTTCACTGCTCTAATTTACTGCTATGGATTTGGTGCAAACTCATTCTGTGACCTTGAGCAAATCTTTTAATCTCTGGGGCTTCAGTTTCTTTTTCTGCAAAAAAGATAAAAAAATACCAAGAGTAGTGATTGGTTTAGAAGGATTCCAAATCCCTCTGGAATAGGGAGGGTGGTGGGGGTAAGTTAGCGGGAAAGAGTTCTGAATCAGCAGAACTGGACTCCGGAGGGAAATATTCTGAGTCATTTTCAATGATTTCACACATTTCTGGAGGTCATACTTAAGATCCGGGACTGCAAGTAATGTCTCAGATTCGTTGTCAAAACTAAGTGATTCGTAGTGGCTGCTTGGAGCCCAGTATTAGAAGGATTCTGAACATCTGCTCAGTGGGAAAGAATGTCGCCATTGATTGGTGCTGTCTGCCGTGCTGCTCAATTGGTGCTGTCTGCCTTGCCTGCAGGATGGGCTGTGGTGACGCACATGCTAGATATTTGCTAACATTACAGGGAAGTTAACCCAAAATCCTAAGGTTTGTGTTCTTTTTAAAAAATCAAGCTAGTTCTTTTGTTTACTGAACTTTGAACATGGAATGCAACCCCACAGTTCAAGATTGGTGAGTTTTTTATTTTGTTTTAAAGAAATGCCGTGAAAAGTTCCACCTTTACCCAAAGTAAGTCAGGATGTCCTAACATTCTGAAATCCTCCTCTCCCTGAGGCATGGCATTATTAGTTTTTAATGTATAATTTCAGGAATACTCTATGCATATTCAAGTATATTTGCATGTGTTTAAATCCACATACAGACGAGTATGTGGTATACACATTTTTTTTTAATTTTATACATTTATCATGTAATGTACATAGTTCTGTTCCTTCCAGCTTCACATGAGAATGCATGATGGAGCTCGTTAGGTATGTTATATAACTCTACCTTACTGTTTTCCAAGGCTGCTTAATAACAATTGTTTGCATAAATTAATTGCATAATTTATTGAGTGCTTACATGCCAGCCTCTTTGTGTTTCAGTCCTAAGCACTTTACATTCTACAGCCCCAGGAGGTTTGGTACTCTTAGTATCATTCTCACTTTATAAATGAGATCCCTAGACACAGAGAGGTTAATTAGCTTTCTCCTGGTCATGCAGCTATTAAGTGGTCAAGCTAAAATTTGAATCCTAGGAGTCTCCTGTGTCTACAGCACTCATCCTCTAAGCGGTATACGTGTGTGTGTGTGTGTGTGTGTGTGTGTGTGTGTGTGTGTGTGTGTTTGAAACGGATCTCTCTCTGTTGCAGTGGTACTATCCCAGCTTACTGCAACCTCCACCTCCTCAGTAGCTGGTATTACAGGCATGTGCCACCATGCCCGGCTAATTTTTGTATTTTTAGTAGAGGTGGGGTTTTGCCATGTTGGCCAGACTGGTCTTGAACTTCTGACCTCCTTGGCCTCCCAAAGTGCTGGGATGACAGGCATGGGCCACTGTGTATATAGAAGCCACCTGGTTCCATCTATTTATCAATGATCTATGTCTCTCTGAGCTCAAACTCCTGAGCTCAAGCAATCAGCTGACCTGAGCTTCTCAAAGTCCTGGGATTGCAGGCATGAACCACCACGCTGGGTTCTATTCACTCTTGAGATTTAACTTACATGCTCCTTCCTCCAGGAAGCCTTCCCTGAGCTCCCAAGCCTCCATCAGGGTCTGTGTGAATCCTTCCAACCTGCCCTATCCTGCCCTCCTTGGGCCATGTGCTTCTTAAAGTGTGACCTAGGGACATCCCTGAGACCCATTTAGGAAGTCCACAAGGTCAAAGGTATTTTTATCATAATACTAAGATATAGGCCGGGCGCGGTGGCTCAAGCCTGTAATCCCAGCACTGTGGGAGGCCGAGGCGGGTGGATCACGAGGTCAAGAGATCGAGACCATCCTGGTCAACATGGTGAAACCCCGTCTCTACTAAAACTACAAAAAATTAGCTGGGCATGGTGGCGCGTGCCTGTAATCCCAGCTACTCAGGAGGCTGAGGCAGGAGAATTGCCTGAACCCAGGAGGCGGAGGTTGCGGTGAGCCGAGATCGTGCCATTGCACTCCAGTCTGGGTAACAAGAGCGAAACTCTGTCTCAAAAAAAACAAAAACAAAAACATAATACTAAGATATTTTCCTTTTTTATTCTATTCTCTCATGAGGGTATAGAGTTTGGAGGCTTCACAAGAAGAACACGATTGACTGAATGCAGAAGCAGATATGAGACTTTGACTTTCTTCTATTGAGTCAAATGTTGAATTGATTTTTAAAAATATAAGCCAACAATATTTTATTTTGGAAACTATAGTTATTTTTATTAAAATAAGTTGCTTCTGTAAATATTCAGTGAGTTATTTTACTTAAATACATATTTTAGATTTTTTTCTCAGTTTGAATTGCAAATATGCAAAAAATCAATAGACATAGTACAAATTTAAAAAGCTCTTTGAGGTCCCCTACAATTTTCTTTGTTTTATTTTTAGACAAGGTTTTGCTCTGTTGCCCAAGCTATCATAGCTCACTGCAACCTTGAACTTCCAGGTTCAAGGAATCCTCCCATCCCAGCCTCCTGAGTAGCTTAGACTACAGGTGCGCACCACCACGCCCAGCTAGTATTTTTAAATTTTTTTGTGAAGATGGAGTCTCAAACTCATGGCCTCAAATGATCCTCTCACATTCGCCTCCCAAAGTGTTAGGATTACAAGTGTGAGGCACCAGCTCTCTACAATTTTTAAGTGTATGGAGGGATCCTGCATTCAAAGGTTTAAATGCTAATTCTGTATGTCACAGAGGCAGTAAGGTCTGCCTCATTCCTCTAATGACTGTACAGTGGTCCACTGCAGAGAGGTAATTTATTTTAACAATAAACTCATTTTAATTATGAATTTATGTATTTATTCTTCTTAATTTTTACATTTTTTTCTATTTTCTTTTTTTTTATTTAAAATTTTTTTACCAAGGACACATAAATTTATTTATTTATTTATTTGAGATGGAGTTTAACTCTTGTCACCCAGGCTGGAGTGCAATGGTGAGTTCTCTGCCCACTGCAATGTCTGCCTCCCAGGTTCAAGTGATTCTCCTGCCTCAGCCTCCTGAGTAGCTGGGATTACAGGCAGCACCACCACGCCCAGCTGATTTTTGTATTTTTAGTAGAGATGGGGTTTCACCATGCTGGCTAGCTTGGTCTCAAACTCCTGACCTCAGGTGATCTGCCCGCCTCGGCCTCCCAAAGCGCTGGGGTTACAGGAGTGAGTCACCATGCATGGCTCCTAAAGTTAATAGTCATGATTTAAAAGTTTCAGCATCAGAGAAGGGTAAAGAGAAAGCAGCTTTTGGCTGGGCATGGTGGCCCATGTCTGTAATCCCCACACTTTGAGAGGCCAAGGCAGAGTTTAAGACCAGCCTGGCCAACATGGTGAAAACCCATGACATAGTTAATCTCTCCTAAAAACACAAAATTAGCCCCGTGGGGTGGTGCATGCCTGTAATCCCAGCTACTTGGGAGGCTGAGGCAGGAGAACTGCTTGAACCCTGGGAGGCGGAGGTTACAGTGAGCTGAGATCACGCCTGGGCAACAACAGTGAAACTCCATCTCAAATAAATACATAAATAAATAATAAATAAAAATAGCTTTCTCCTCGCTCTTCTCAATTTCAGCTTCATTTCCCAAAGGGAATGACTGTTACCACTTTCTTACTTCTTCTAGGCCCGTGGTTCTCACCTGGAAGTCATTTTGCCCCCAGGTTACATTCGGCAATGTCCAGAGATATTTTTGGATGTCACAACTCAGGGCTGGCGGGGACTGAGGTGCTATGGGAACCTAGCAAGACGCTGGAACACACCCTGCAATGCACGGGACGGCCACCCCTGGCAAAACAGCAGCTTGTCTCTGATGTGACTAGTGCCACGATCATTGAGAAAGCCTCTGCCAGACTTTTATCTAGAAATCAATAAACAGAAATATCTTCATTAAGATATTTCCTTTTTTTTAACCTTTATTTTTATGGACACAAATGGGATCTTCCTAAATTGCTTCATAAGCTGTGATTCTTTTTACAATTTTTAAATTTTGAGACAGGGTCTGTCTCTCTGTCACTTGGGCTGGATGGAGCACAGTGGCACAACCTTGGCTCACGGCAGCCTCAACCTCCTGAGCTCAAGCCATCCTTTCACTTCAGCTTCCTGAGGAGCTGGGACTATACTCCTGGTTCATTTTTTAAAAATTATTTTCTGGTCGGGCGTGGTGGTTCATGCCTGTAATCCTAGCACTTTGGGAGGCTGAGGCGGGTGGATCACCTGAGGTCAGGAGTTCGAGATCAGCTTGGCCAACATAGTGAAACCCCATCTTTACTAAAAATACAAAAAATTAGCCAGGCGTAGTGGGGGACGCTTGTAATCCCAGCTACTCAGGAGCCTGAGGCAGGAGAATCACTTGAACCTGGGAGACAGAGGTGGTGGTGAGCCAAGATCACGTTACTGCATTTCAGACTGGGCAACAAGAGCGAAACTCCGTCACAAAAAAATATATGTATATATATTTTGTAGAGTCGAGGATCTCACTATGCTGCCCAGGCTGAGCTTCCTGAAGTGCTGGGATTACAGGCCTGAACCACCGTGCTCTGCCAGCTGTGATAATCTGCAAGAGATTAGGGACCTCTTTGAGAATCAGGTAAAAGCTACGGACCCCCAGAAAAAAATACTCATACAAAATTTGGTACATAATTTCAGGGGCTTACTGACATCCCAGTAGCTCTGCCAGAATTCCCTGGATGTGTGATTTTGAATCACGGTCTTCAGCAACAGAGAGATCACTAACTGCATCCCCTCCTCTTCTACAGATGAGAGAATGAGAGAAGGAAGGTGCAGAAAGAACTGAGGTTTGGCTCCGGCTTCCTCGGGAGGCAAAGGAGAGCGTGGATTGGAACTCGGGCCACCTGGCTCCCCAGCGTTGGAATATTTCCACTTCACCCTGAATGAGGACGTTTTAGAAACGCTGATCGACTCTTCCTGGTACAGCAGGAAGACATGCCACCACCACTCTGTTCCTCTTGAGAAAACACAAAGGCCCCAGCTGTTGTTGATGAGAAACACTCAAGCACCTGGGAAAAACCACACACTCAGGATATGAGGCAGGGAGACGGGTTGGTTAGGGACAGGAGGTTGGGACTGGCTGTGTAGGGGATAGAGACCCTAGAATATGTCTCATTCCCTGACTCATTCATTCGTTTGTTCGTTCATTCATTCATTCGTTCAGCTTCCCTGGACCGAGGACTCCTGTCCGCCAGGGCTGAGCTGGGATCTGGGGGACATAAGTAAATCAGACCCGTGCCTGTCCCTGAACAGCTCCTGCACCAGTGCAGAGAAGACCGACCCATGTGTCAATCACAGTGTAGCGTTGCTGTGGCTTAAGGGAGCCAGTGCAAGGCAGGTTGGAAGCACTGTTGTAGACCCTGATGTGGGCTTCGGAGGTCAGGGAAGGCTTCTTGGAGGAAGGAGTGTGTAAGTTGAATCTCAAGGAGCTGGGGATAGAGCCAGGTGCAGTGGCTTAAGTCTCTAATCCTAGCACTTTGGGGAGGCTGAGGTGGGCAGATTGTTTGAGCTCAGGAGTTTGAGATGAGCCTGGGCAACATGACGAGACCCCGTCTCTACCAAAAATACAAAAAAAAAAAAAAAATAGCCAGGTGTGGTGGTACACACCTGTGGTCTCAGTTACTGAAGAGGCTGAGGTGGGAGGGTGGCTTAAGCCTGGGAAGTCAAGGCTGCAGCGAGCCAAGATTGTGTCACTGCACTCCAGTCTGGGTGACACAGCAAGACCCTATCTCAGAAAGAAAAAAAATGGATAGAGGGTTTGCCAGATGGCTGAGAGATGGAAGGGGGTTTCCTGCAAGGAAACCACCCAGGAAACCCTCAGAACAGGAAGGAGCTGGGAATGCTAGGGAAGACACCGGAAGGAGCTGGGAATGGTAGGGAAGACACCTTCAGTCCGCAGGAGGCAGCAATGGGGGCGGCTTACAATAAGGCTGGTGTTCTCGGCAAAAGGACCTAGGAGGTAAGGAGCTTCGATTTGCTCCCAAGGGCAATAGGGGGACGTGGGAGAATTTTATTATTTTGTGTGTTTTGGGGGACAGAGTCTTGCTCTGTTGCCCAGGCTGGAATACAGTGGCACAATCTCTGCTCACTGCAACCTCTCCCTCCCAGGTTCAAGTGATTCTCCTGCCTTAGCCTCCCAGGGAGCTGGGATTATGGGTGCACACCACCATGCTCAGCTAATTTTTGTATTTTTAGTAGAGACGGGGGTTTCGCCATGTTGGCCAGGCTGGTCTCTAAGTCCTGACCTCAAGTGATCCACCTGCCTCGGCCTCCCAAAGTGCTGGGATTACAGGTGTGAGCCACTACGCCTGGCGAGCTCTGGGTCTTACAAGGCTGAAGTTAAGATGTCAGCTGACTGTGTCCTTTGCTGGGGGTTTGGCTAGGGAGAGAGCTACTTCCAAGCTCCCACAGGTTGAGCCGAATTCATTTCCTTATGGTTGTTTGACTGAGGTCTCTGTTTTCTAGTTAGAAGAAAATACTCGCTCTCAGGTCTTTGCCACAACGAGGCAATTTGCTTCTTCAAGGTTCCCAGGAGAATCTCCTTTGCTTTGGTTCTTTCTGACCGCCTGATCCTTTTCTAAGAGATCACCTGATTAGGTCACACCCACCTGGGGTAATTTCCTTTTTAATTAAGTCAACTGATTCGGGACTTTAATATATCTACAAAATCCCTATACCTTGCCATATGATGTCATGTAATCATGGGAACGGCGTCACCTCCTAGTGACAGGTCTTGTCCACACTCAAGGGAAGGAGATTCTCTCAGGTGTGCACACCAGGGGGTGGGAATCTTGGAGATCATTCTAGAATTCTGCCTACCACAATTGGAAGTGAGGATCGAGGACTTCCTCAAGGGAAGGGACTAGCAAACCTATCTCTAACCCTGCAGGCTCTAGGTCTTGGCTTATGTGAAATGAATATATGAGCAAATATAGAAATGTGATCTTTAAAAAGTCCACAACCTGCTTCTTCTGTGACTCCCCTTCTGAAGGGGGCTTCCGCAGCTGAAGGGGTGATCCGTCTTTCAAAATGAAGTCAAGAGATGCTGTCTCATTCCTTTTTTTGTTTTTTTTCTTTTCTTTCTTTTTTTTTTTTTTAAATACGGGGTTTCACCATGTTGGTCAGGCTGGTCTTGAACTCCCGACCTCAGGTGATCCGCCTGCCTTGGTCTCCAAAGTGCTTGGATTACAGGCGTGAGCCACCGCACCCGGCCCCTGTCTCATTCCTTAAAGGGGTACATATATGACCCACACATTCACTGCTAGATGTGTGCCCAAGAGATATGAAAACATATATTCACACATAAACTTGCACACAAATGTTCATGGTAGCATTATCCCTAGTAGCCAAAATGTAGAAAAACCCCAAATGTTCATTGATACATGAATGGAGAAATAAAATGTGGTATCTCCCTCTATACCATGGAATATTCTGCCATGAAATGGATGAACCTAGAAGGCATCATACCACAATTAGCCTGAAAGCAGCCGGACACAAAGAACAATATGTTGTATGATTCAATTTCTATGAAATGTCTAGAATAGGAAAATCTATACAGACAGGAAGTACATTAGTGATTGCCTAGCGCTGGGGTGGGTGCTTAGATTGGGGATGATGGCTAAGGAGTACGTGGTATCTTCTTGGACTAACGAAAATGTTCTAAAATTGATCTAAAGTTGATGATTGCATAGCTCTATACAGTTAAAAACCGTTGAATTGTACACTTTAAGTGGGTGAATTGCATGATATTCGAGTTCGATCTCAATAAAGCTGAGGAAAAGAGATATACTCTCTTTAGTTGTTGAAATAAATCATGAGGTAATCATGCGTCACTTAGTGTCACAAAATTACCAGTAGAAGAACTAACACATGAGGAAGAAGGGAAGGAAAAGTGAGGGCTAGTTAATTTGTTATCTGTGAGAAAAATAAATAATGTATAATTTTGATACATCCAAAAGAAAATTATTATTTAGGGATGTCAAGGCAAGTAAGAGAAGAAATAGCTAAGAATGTTAATAGGCTTTTCCAATAAGGAACAGGATGTGAGGTGGAACAGGCTAAATTATTTTTATTATAATCCCTGCGTACTCTTAGATTCTTCTTTCTTTCTTTTTTTTTTTTT